CATAGTTTTCTGGAATTCCAAACAGCGATGGAGGTAAGGAAAACGTTGGTCCTGAGCACGAGAGCAGTGAACAAATTGCAACTCGGTTGCTCCTAAACATCAATTCATAAAAAAAAAATATGTAATGGAGTTTTTTATTTCCATTTCACGGATAATAAAGCAGCTAAATGTGGCATCTTTCGCAAGAGTTCACAAAAATAGAGGTTTAGTTATCAAGTCCGAGATTGTGCTTATCTGACTGACGATAAGTCCAGCGTTGTTTTACTCGTTTAATACGTAATGTCTGACGGGTAATTAGCCTCCTCTTCATTATTCTCAGTGTTACATTTGTGTTATCATGACATCGCTCTAAGATACACTAACATTTTTCACTTTGATTTTCCAACTGCAGAACAATGTAGTTCAAGATTCTTTCTATATTAATTTGGGGGAGTACCACATTTAGTCTCTCAATTTATGAAAGCCACTGTGGCGACTCCAGGTCTAAATTTGGAGCCCTCCATAACCGACATGATGTGGAGCCTCAGTATGAGTAAAAATTCTCGAAGGGACGTTAAACAAACAAACATTTCGAGAAAAGAACACAGTAAAACGATTTTTAAAATGTGCTTACTCTATGTAGAAAACCTAGTCAATAAGTTTGATACTTGATGGTCCTTTATTTATTAAGATGTAAGTTTGGTAGAACCTATATTTGGCGCAAAATTATCAAGCTAAAATAAGTAATTTGCTATTTGTCTTGAAATTATGAAATAGATGTTTCAAAATGATCTACAACCAAAGAATGGAGGCGTACAAGGCGAGGACAGTCCCTCGATCTGAGACAAAATATTTCTCAAATTTTAAAGTTAAAAATAAAAAATTATATATTGTCATTATCATGTTTTACATATCTGATTCTTTTTTTAATTGAATATACTTATTAATAAATAATTTATTTTTCTTCAATGTCTTTAAGGTATGTGAACAGAAAAAAGTCTGAAATATGATTCGAAATCAAAAGGTCGAAGTAAAACGCGTTAACCGCTTCTTTACGTATTCTTCTTATCATTAAATTTAAATAATCTAGCTTGTTGAATTGTATCATTTTTTCAGAAATGATTTAAACAGACATGTATTTAATTGTAATTTATAATTACAATGGATTTGGGCACAAGTTCTGAAAACTTATACCTTCTCCCTACATGTATATTACAAATTTAAATTGTCATAGTTATACATGAGGTTTTAAAGTATATAATATTTGCAAAAAATTACAAATCAATGCATTTTGTAGATTATAGATACGTGTAATTTTGTATAAAAATATGCTGGCATATTTATTAATACTAACAAGGAAATCTACCAGAATGGTTAATAAATGTTTAAACAAAAGAAAAATAAGAGACGTTCATTCTCTGTGCGTGGCACTCAATGAATCTATCCTCCATGATAAGACGTGTATCTAAAATGTGGATTTTATCGAATAATAACAAAATTATTGAAAAATTCTTTTGTGGCATTCACATACTTTGGACATACAATATAATAATGATATGTATCCTCTACTTTACAACACAAGCATGGAGGGCTTGATATAAAATTGCATCTCTACAGGTCATCATTCAATACACAATTATGCTGAAGTCTGGTTTGAAGAACATTAAGTCCTCTGTTACCGTTTTCAGAAATGTTTGATTTTCACATAGAATGGGTTCAGACTCCGTCTTGAAACATAAAATTTTACATTCATTTTTTCATCACTTAAACGTTTATGTAGAATGGGCACATGATTCATATTTTAAAAAATAAATACTTATAATAGACCCATTTTCCACCAAGTATGCTTAAATGTCAACTTAAAAACAAATTATCAATAAGATGAATGAATCATACGTGTTACAGATGACATTATTGACAACATATTTTTTTTTTAAATATAATTTTTTTTACATACTTTGAAAATTAAGAAATAGATTGTCTCAGAGTGGGGGGATTGTCTCGCCTTGTACGCCCAAATTCTTTGATAATGACAAACATCCGATAGGTAGATTTGATGTTAATTTGGCACATAGCAGATTGTCTAAATGTTTTACAGAATTTATGAGAGCAGGCACAAGACAGGCCCGTAGAAGAACCGGGGGCATGGGGTAGAATGGGAGGGATGTGCATCCTCCCTCCAATAATTTTGTCTTTTTTCGATTTTTGACCCCATTTTCTTATGCAATTCCGCAAATCTCTATTCCTTTTAATGCTGGAGTGGATCAAATCTCTATTCTTTTGAATTCTGGATCAGATTTCCAGATTGATCGACACATTATCTTGTAAATTATTGGCTGCTATCTATTACAGTGTGAAAAATAAGACTGTAATCATATTGATTACAATTTGATAACTAAAGAATCTGAAGACAAAAAAATTTCAGGACACCTAATCTTTATTAAATGGTTGTAAAACACTGACTGGTGTCGATTCATAAAGTACATGTATATCTGTTGTAGATACCAATCATCTTTGATGCCTAAGCGAGAGTAAAGTGTGCTTACTTAGAAAAGAACCCCGAAAAAAGGGAATGAGAAGCATTGACTGAGATGAAATCCCTCGCTATTCAAAATTCTCTGAAGCTGATGAATAGCTAAATTTGATGAACATGAATCTGCACTTAAATAAGTGATCTGTTTTCAACTTTAGACAAATATTGGTCTTCCAAGTACCGAAGTTACCCAGCTATCTTTTTAAAGTGTAAATAAAGAGTTTACAATTGGAATATCCTGTTCATTTGTAAAAGAATTTTGGAGAAATAAAATACCACTGACCCTGAAAACTATCGCAATACATCGCCCAGACGGAGAGATTTGTTTAAGGCAGAAAATCGTTACATTGATCTTCAAAGTCAAACTGTCGATGCTTGTTTTAAATCTAGTTATACAGTACTAAGTGCAATTACAAACAAGTAAAACGAAACTCTTTCTCTTCTGTATAAATATTCCTACATGAATCTGTTCTCTAAAGAGCGTTGTAGGAAGCAAATGTTTGGCAGCATGAAAGTTTACATGAATGGCTTCAAACAACTAGATAAAAAGAAAAACAAATAAAGTATTTCGTTAACACGAAACATTTTCAAATTAATTTTAATCACTGCAACTGCTTGTATATCTTTAAATTCAACATAAATACAACTGGACCGTCGCCCAGAGTTTATTTTTTGGTTTAGTTTTACTTGCTTCTGGTGTTTGTATTCTACATCCTTACAATTCATCTTGAACAGATAATACGAAAATTAATTGAAATTTTACGATTTTTAAATTAAATATACGCAAATGTTAAAACAAACATTTTTTTTTCTTAAATAACATTTAGTTCAAGTACTTGTACAGAGCCAAAGTACGCTACACTGCGTGTAAAATATCTCGGTATAATTTTTATTCATTTTTAAGAAGAAACTTTAAACTAGCATATTGTTTAAAAGAATATTTTATAATTTCAAGGTTTTTTTTTATATATATATAAATTGACAGTTAAATAACAAACCTCCTAAGCTTTGGACAAGATAATTGTGTAAATATATGGTAGATAATACCTTTACAATGTATCCGCGAGAATACGTGCATGGAATGTTGCATTTACTTGTGAGATTATATATATATATATATATATATATATATATATATATATATATATATATATATATATATATATATATATATATATATATATATATATGTATGTATGTATGTATGTATGTATGTATATTAGAAATTTGACATAGGTTTTTATGTATCTCCAGTTATTGATTTGTCAATGTTATCAAAATAATGGGAAATTCTTTATTATAAAGCACCGGGGAACATCATTATTTCCGCTAAATTTTCTATTTATCACGTTTTTTCCAGTAAAGATTTTGTAGAGATAGTTTGAAAACATAAATCAAGAAACAAAATGCAAGGAGTGAAAAAACTTTTGTAACATTTGGTAAATTTGGAAGAAAATCAGAAGGAATAACTTTTTAAAACAGATTTCAAAACAATTATATAAACTGGAAAAAATAAAAATTAAGCTTTTGCTCTCTTGGAATCATATGAGTTATCAACGGATGCTTAAGATTTCCATTTTGCTCAAAGTTATACGTTATTCCATGGTGTGATGATTCAATACTGCATGAAGCGATTTAATTCATGTATTACATGTAGCGATTTAATTCAATGTACAAAACATATCTCAATGTTCGTTTTCTTTCTCAAAAAGTAAGTTGAATATTAATTTTGATTCATTTTTTTAAAATTTAAATCAAAACTGAGATATAAACATATCTGAGCAGTTAGTGAGAGTAAACAAGCTCTCACAGATAATACACAGTCATATTTAAGAAAATAAGTATACGAATGTTTAACATGTTTTAAATCAGAGAAAATATGTCGAAATCTGTGAATAGCTGTAAATGTGTTAAGAGCTGTTATATTTACAGTTTTTCCCGCCCATATGTCGGGGTTAGATTCCCTAGAAATCACTTAACAAGAGTGGGCCCTGCTAAGAATATGATCGGTAATCTCACGGATCAATGTTTATAGAGTCTCATCTAGGGGAACCCAGCGTTTTATTGTACCGCATTTATCTACAGACAGACTACATTACATATCTAATGGCCTCTATATAGTAAATTTGCACCTTAAAATTATTTACATGTCACGTTTTATCGTTTGCCATCTAAAAAAGCGATGGAGTTTGTGACGTCACAAACTTTTTAAGAAACGGTTTTCGGTGTGTTTGCATAGGAAATCTGGAATAAATTTCCCAAAATATGCAATTCATTCATGCCCTAGCTTTCTCTTATTGCTTTAATCTGATAATACATAGTCTTTTAATAATAAAGTTTCTTTTTTTTTTCTTTTTTTTTTTTTTTTGCAGTACAAAAAAGCATGCATTTAACAGGTGGTTATTATAGATGTTTCTAGTAAATATATGAGAAACCTTAAAAACTTTTTTTAAAATTTTACTTTTTAAAATAAATTAAGTCAACTTACCTCACTAAAAAGAAAAAAAAATCCAAATGTTTAATTTTTCTGGATATTAAGCCCTTGAATGATAGGAGATGTTTTATCTCAGGCAGCACCGCTGAAATTGAATGGTCTCAGTTTGTGACTGTAGTATCCCTCCCCCACTTTCCTCGTGAGCCGACAGTTTAATGTTTGGTTCGCGCGCTATAGCCGTTCGAGATTAGTGAGCGCCAGCAATAAATTCTTTTACTGGGGTCCTGAAATTTCAAATTATATAACTGCATGCTTTTATGGTTTTTATCATTGCAATTTTTTGTCAATGTGAGGCGAGGAACAGTTGAAATAAATTGACATAAAGACAATTTTCAATTTAAAAAGTTATCCTGAAATTTCAATATAAACATTTTATATATAGCTTTTGTTTTTAGTCTTACTATTTGGTTTGTTCTCTTAAATCTTTACCACCCATGTGAAAGGTATTAACCTTGTAGAAGAGCGCGTCTGGTCATCTCATCGCATTCTTCTCAACAACATTCCTGGCCATTCTGTGGTTTGTTCAGTCTGCCAAAGTAAGCAACGAGATTTCGTCTGAAGTCACTAATGAGGCATGATGACGTCATCGCTCCCACTGGCTCACCGATACAACGAAAATTTCTCTGATTTATAGAGTTTAGCAACTTTTATAAAGAATTTTTGAATTTTTGAAGGCAAACTGAAAAGAAAATGAATTTAATGATTTGCGTTTCTCTTTGAATACTAGTATATATACTGCAAAATCGTCTAAAAATCTGTATACTTAAATATGTCCCAGAAAAGATAACTCACAGAGTTATACTTGATATAAAACGTTTGTTAATTTAAGTATCAGATTGCTAGTTTTCCTTTTTTATTTGTATTCAAGAGAACGATGAATGTCATGTGTATTTTATGCTACTATCCATCTGCCGATAGTGTTGACTGCCTATAGGACATTTTCAGTTGGGTGAACATTTACAAAATAGCGACTACGGATCTTCCGTATGGAGTGCACAGGGCACTAAAAACTAGTGTTGTCAACGAGAACCCGTTAACCGGTTTACTGTCGAACGGTGCGAGTATCGGTTAGTAAACCTGCTACCCGGTTGTAGGATATATATAGACATTTTGCTGATTAAATATAGTAAAAATGTAGTTTTGTTTTTAAATGTATATTTACATGACATCAATTTCATCTACCGTTAGTCTCAATATATTCACAAATTCGAGATCGATTTGTTTTGATTAGTTTTCGCGGTTTATCTAATTAATGATTTTGAATGCCAAGGGGTAAACAAGCTTTGAAGACCTATAAAAATTATAACCTTATCAATAATCTGATTTAACAAATTGCTGTCCCAGACAACAAAAGCCTGGAAATAATCGTCGATTTGACAACCTAAGTAAGAACACTGCATATTTTTCACACTGCGTTTTATACCACATTCTAGAGATTTAGTAGAGCAAAACTGAAATCTTCTAAGAAGACATTTTTTTCTGTTTCTTTCATAATTCGTGATAAGAACTAAAAGGGGATACAATTTTTTTACAAGAAAATTAGAATTCACATTCAATTAAGTAGAATGCAAAAAAATAAGAAGAGATTAGGATGTAAATAACGGGGAAACTAGCATACATGTATATTCCATTCTGACGAAGAGAATTCATTTTCTTAAAGTCGCCATGACGCAGTGGTAGAGCGTCCGCTCTAAAGTTGCGGATCGAGTAAGGAGTTATTCTTACGTCGCGGGTTCGAATCCCACTGTGAGACGTTGAGACCGGTCTTTCGGATGAGACTGTATAAACCGATGTCCCGTGTCGCAGTAGATGCTCCCTCACTGCTCAATAGCCTTGAGTGCCGAGTATAGGTCAAAATTTACAGCTCTCCACCGGCAAGTGGTGGTGTCTCCATATGAGTGAAAAATTCTCGAGAGGGACGTTAAACAATACACAAACAAACAAACAAACATTTTCTTAAAAACTTGTTTAAAAGTATCTTCAATGTACAGGATCCAGATATTACTGCTTTCCTATAAGGGATACAATACGGTAGAAAAGAAGTAGGCAGAACAGAAAAGGGAGGGATAAGGGAAAACTTCCAGTATCGACATTTTCAGGAATCTCGATAAAGTCTGTTCCAGATTGGTTCACTGTTACTAATGTAAAACATCAAATGCTAGGATTCGTTTGTTATGCTTGCTGTTTTAACGTCCCTTTTGAGAAGTTTTCACTCATATTGAGACGCCACCACTTGCCGGTGGAGGGCTGCAGATTTAGACTTGTAGTCGGCACTTACGGCTTTTGAGCAGTGAGGAATCATTTCATAATGAAAAGCCACAGCATTCAATGTAAAAGCACCTCATTGTTAAACAACCACAGCCTAAACTACAAAAAAATCATCATGATAATGAAGAAACCGCAGCATATAATGTTAAAACACCTCATCAAAATCAAATAGCATCATATAATGCAAAAGCATTAAAAACCATAGCATATAATGCAATCATAATGAATAATCCCAAATATATAAGCACTTCATTATAACGAAGAAGCCACAGCATATTAATATGCAATAGTACCTCATCATATTGAAGAAACCGCAGCATAGTTCATTATGATGAGGTGCTTTTAAATTATAAATACTGTGGTCTTTTTTTCATAAGGATGGGGTGATTTTGGTTTAGAACATCGAGGAGCATCATGATTAAATAATTACATCACATGACGCAAAAGCAACTCAACTGAGCACATCATATGATGCAAAACTACTGCATCATAATGAAGAAACCACAACATAAAATGTCATAATGAAATAACCACGCTATATAAGCCAAAAGCACCTCAACGTGGTGAACTATAACCACACCATATAATGCAAAAGCACCTCACCGTGGTGAACTATAACCACACCATATAATGCAAAAGTACCTCACCGTGGTGAACTATAACCACACCATATAATGCAAAAGCACCTCACCGTGGTGAAATGTAACCACACCATATAAGCCAAAAGTACCTCACCGTGGTGAACTGTAACCACACCATATAAGCCAAAAGTACCTCACCGTGGTGAACTATAACCACACCATATAATGCAAAAGTACCTCACCGTGGTGAACTATAACCACACCATATAATGCAAAAGTACCTCATCATAATGAAGAAGCTCCAGTGTATAATTTAAAAATTCTTCATCATAATATACTAACCACAGCATATACTGCAAATGTACTTCACCATGAAGAAACCTTAGCAATGTTTATTGTTAAAACACCTCATCATAATGAAATAACCACACCATATAATGCGAAAAAGCTTCATCATAATTTAATAACCACGGCATAATGAAGAAACCACAGAATATAATGTTAAAGCATCATCTTAAATTATAATAAAAAAAATCACATAAGGCAGCGATGGTTTTGTTTAACATCAAGAGGTCTTCCATAAGAAGGAAAGTCCAAAATTAAAAAGGCTTTTCTCTCCATCGGCACATTCTTAGATGAAAAAACTCCTCAGCAGAATTCATCTTAATATCAGTAAGTGTCTGTGTTAAAACTCTGTGCTGATGGAATAGACAGGTGCACCTGTTTCCAGTAAAGCTCTACATATAAAATCATTGATTGTCAAGCATAGTGATACACAGGACAAAGAATTCCCACAAACAGAATCCCTTGGGGGAAAACACATGTACCAATCTCCAAGTAAAACACATGTACCAATCTCCAAGTAAAACACATGCACCACTCTCAAAGTAAAACACATATACAAATCTCAAAGTAAAACACAAGTACATTGTACCAATCTCCAAGTAAAACACATGTACCAATCTCCAAGTAAAACACATGTACCACTCTCCAAGTAAAACACATGTACAAATCTCCAAGTAAAACACTTGTACAAATCTCCAAGTAAAACACATGTACCAATCTCTAAGTAAAACACATGTACCACTCTCCAAGTAAAACACGTACCAATCTCCAAGTAAAACATATGTTCCAATATCTCCAAGTAAAGCACATGTACCACTCTCCAAGTAAAACATATGTACCACTCTCCAAGTAAAACACATGTACCAATCTCAAAGTAAAACACCAAACACCAGCGCAAAATGTTTTTGGGACATTGAGAAAATTATATTGTATAAAGGTGTGAAAATTGAGCTTATCTATTTAATTTTCAATATATGGTACCTGGCATTTACCCCCAGGAAAATTGTTCAAAGATAACAAAGCATCAATGAACAGAAATCATTGCTGTTTACTTCCACTGGAGAAAATACATGCAAATAAGTTGTTCAATTAATTTATCTTGGTCTTTTAAAATGTTAAGAATGTTTGATCTAAGGACAGATCACTCGAGTTGTTACTGCAGGCGGCAGAGGAATAGATCTTGCGAGTGTCTTGCCCGACTTATAGGTTTAAGGAAAGCGCAGCAATCCAGTTGCGTTAAGCTTGGCTAAAGTCCGAACATATGTCAATGAATGTCATGATTATTCAAACAATAAAATGCTTTCTTTGGTTGTAAGTACGGGAATAAAGGTAGTTCGATCCTTAGGTTCTGAAAAATCAGGAGTTAAGTATTTGAAAATGCTCACAAAAATGTCTCTGAATTCACAAAGTAATGTGTATTTAACGATGGTATTTCTTAAACGTCAATCATTATAATTTATAATATTATATAGGGAAAATTTATCAGATCTCAAATATATTTTCATGAAAAGCAAATAAGTAAAAGCTATCCATTTTCTAATTGCATGAAAAATGATCAACAAATACATTTTCGGACAAAAAACTATAAAGGTATCCAGGCATTCGGAGAAATTGCCACGGCATGCTTTATTTACTTAAACGGTATTCTAGTTCTTTTATATACTTCAATTTTTTATATATTTGATATGATATAATATGTAGTGTAAAAAGCTTGTACCTTCATTGCAAGACATCACAGATCACGTCTAATTTCATATCTAATTGTTAATAAGCATTTTTTTAAGGTTGGATTAAAGGAAATTCGATTACAAAAAATTATTAATTTTTGTACTTTCTGGGGGTACAAAGTCAACTTTATAAAACTTCAAAAAATCTT